TCTGCCTCACTTTTCTCTATTTCTATTTCCTGTAGCAACTATAAACTATAAAGTGGGGTAACTGAAAGCCAGAATAAGCAATGAAAGCCAATAGTGTAAGGTCAATCAAGGCCAACAAGGCCAGTTGCCACAGGCCAGTGCAGCCGCAAGAACCCACAGAATGAACCGGTCCTCTGGTGTGATCGTTATCAACGCCACGCATAAAATCCCCAGCATTCATCCGCGTCACTCGCCAAGCGGCCACATATATATATAAGATGTATATATATGTATATATTATATATATATATATATATATATATATGATGCGACGCAGTTATTTAGGCACAGCTGCCGTATGACCCTTGCGCTATATTTGCCGATTAAAATCACGGCGCACTGGCTTCTCACCAATCGAATATATAACATACATATATCGCTATCATATCATGCTCTGCCCACTCGGTAAACGCTTCGCCCTTATTTGATTTATCTGCGTCGCATTTATACATGCTTCGCCTTTTATCGTGCAACCCGCATACACACGGTTAAATCTGTTATCGCCAACGAAAATGCTTAAATTTTATCGTAGTTGCCAGCCATGGCCGATATTATTTCGTCGGACGACAGCTGAATGCTGAGCGTATATCATCGACGATTGGTTATCCTATGTCACTAGGTTCCGACTTTCGCTGCGCAGAATTCTATCCGCATTCTTTATTGCGCCTCCTCACGAGCCCTAGAATCGGTTATTCCGTCCATCAAGGCTCAACGCCTTCATCCTGCGGCTTACTTCCTCTCAATGGAACGCCAATATAGCCTGAGCATCTGGTCCTATTGTCCCGGCAGGGTACTGCCGCGGAACGTACCCTGGTACTATCTAATATTGCCGGACCGTACCTCGCCTTACATCCACTAACGAGATCTAGGGAGGTCGCGCCTACGCCATACAGCCTAACCCTAAACACCTTAACCCTAACCATATCGAGATAGCTTACAGCGGTACGTTCCGGCAGAACCTGGGGACATATGCCCTATGAGTCCGCAATATACTCCTCGTATTACCTCAACATGGCTGTATTGTTTGTTATGTTTAGAGACATAGTTAAATTAAAAGCTTAAGCCGTAAGCGTGTCAATACAAAAGACAAGCGTCCTATAAAAAGGTGAGCATAATAAAAAGAGAAAGGTATAGCGTGGTAAATATCGGTGCTTAATATAAGTGGGTGTATATAAGGTTCTGTGCTTTCATTAGAGCTCTCACGTATACATTGCCAAGACAACAATAAAACTTGGTCATCCACGTTTTTCTACGCACGGGATGCTTGCCACGTGCGGCTTTCAATGCTACGCAATGCCGGGAACTGCATTAGCTCCTGCGCAATCAACCAATAAAATTACCTAAATAAAATTACCGAAATATCACAATCAAATTACCCAATACCACCAATAAATTCACCCAATACCAATTAAAAACTAGAAACGAGCCAGTGACGTTGTCGCCACCTTACATAGTATCCCCCTCACCTCTAGTATGAATGCGAATATCTACTGTAAAGACGCTAGCAGGCCAGATAAAGTTAAATAAGTCACAAGACAAAGGTTTTGTTTGTTAAGACAACTTGCCGTCATGCCTCAGATGTGCAGACGTATATGGCAATCGGTTACCCCTAGGAGCGCGATAGATGAAATGTAAGTCGACGGCTCAAGCGTCAAACTCTAAGGTTCAAGGGCAGTGTGGTTTTGCGTATGCCCGACCCTCTCTCCCAAACAAGATGTAGTAAGCATACAAAGTTTGGCTCTCGCGTAGGCAATTAGTTGGGCTGAGTTAGAGAGCGGCAAGCGGGAAATCATGATCAAGGTCAAGCGTAAAGGTGAAATAAAGCGTCGCATAGTGAACCTGGTTTTTGGTACTCTAGCCCCACACCTTTTCCCCAAGATGTGTAAGCGCTATACCAAGTTTGGTAGCGCCCTAGCTTGAATTAACAGGGGCCGAGTTACAGATGTGGAGGGAAATATCATCAAGGTCAAGGTTAAGCGTGAATTTTTACATATGTTATCCCCCACCCACATTTTACTCAACGACATTTGAGCGTTTCACAAAAAATCGACCCCTGCAATGGAACTTTTGAAATCGGCGATTTCCGCGCTATGCGCGGGGAACCACCTCTCCCTCCCTCAGTCAGCTATGTATGCCCCAGACCGCGTGTTGTGTGTCGCGGTGGGGCCCCGCACGCGGGGCGGGTTGCCGTGGGTTTGTGCCTTTGTCGTTTGTGTGCTGTGTGTCGTGTGTGTTGTGTGTGTGTGTGTGTGCTGTGTGTGTGTGTGTGTGTGTGCTGTGTAGTTTTCCTTGTGTTGTGTGCGTCGTTGCATGCTGCGCTGTGCGTCCGACCCGCTGCTGCCTTTATGTGTGTGCGGGGGGGGTGGGCTCGTCAAACCCCATACTGGCACAACGCAGGTAATATGGTTATATATATACAACAATAGCAGCACTCGGAGAGCACAGACCTCCGCCATATGGCAGACTGAATGTCTCTAAAAGTGAAAAATTTTTTTTATTAATTAATTAATTACTTTTAATGTGTCGAAAAATCAATTAATTAATTAATTAAATTAATTAATTGGCCATCCGGATTAGTTGCGACAGCGTGCAGGTGGGGGAGGACTGTGGTTAGCCCCTTAGCCTGATGGTTGCATGTTTTGATAAGTCTAGCCAGCCAGCGCACGTAGCGGAAGCTCGAACTGAAACCTGTGATTTCGGCTAACACACAACGCACAAACCAACACTCAAACGACACGCGGTAAAAACATAACCTCCGCCCCAAGCCCCTGCGCGGATACGTGTAAATATATGCTCCCCATTACACTGACAAGCAGGAAATATTGTCCTCTCCACCCTATCATATTGCAATGCTCTTTAGCATCTTAAATAGTGCATTTGCATGAAAGGCTGCCACTCAATTTTCATTTAATAATTCATTTTCTTTAGCTTTGCCAGCTTTTATACCCGATCTCGCGATCATCTTTCAAATTTGTGTGTGTGTGTGTGTCCGTGACAGGTGTCACATTGGGGAGGTGTCGCGCCTCAGTCTGCGCGTCGGGTTTGCCGTGTTCGTCTGCCCCTCCGGATTGTTAGATGCGCCACCTGTCGACTGATCATGACTGATTGTCGCACGACGCTGGGACTAGTGAGAAATGCGCGCGTCACTGCGTGGATATTTTTGACCTTTACTGTCATGTTGTCACAGTTGTGTCGCGGACCGTTCCCTGCGGTACTGTACTGTGCTACAGTAAGATTTACAGTTCTGCGTATACCACCGCACTGTTCTGTAATTGTGTTGCGGCGAGCTTTAAGCTGGGTTTACACAATCGACTTTTAGTTAAGAAATGGACGAGTTGATCGACGCGGTCTGCGAAGCACCGTACTGTTCCCTAAGCTGGGTTTACACTATCAAACTTTTGCTGGCCTTTGCGGGTGCAATGTGTCCTGTACGGGTCCGTCCGGCGTAGTCTGTGTTGTGATGTGCTGTGTTCGTCTATACGTTACTGCGCCGTGCGTGTCGTACGAGGAGTTATACGGCTTATGGAGGTGTAGCACAGAGCGGTGTCATGGCGGCCGCATGACCCCATCTCCACCCAGGTAAAGCCGTTCGTTGACTTAGCAACCCGACGACAAACTAGAAGCCAAAAGCCGATTATGTCATTGTAAATTCACCCCTACACTCACTCTTGCTCGCCGCCCCTCTCCCACGCTCGTCTACCTTTCGCCTCCGTTTTTTATTATTCCTTTCTTTACTTTTGATACCAAGTAGGATTTTTGCAAGCGATGTCCATTGTTAGGAATTTCATCGATTTACTCCGGTAGTCAAGTACTATATAATTATGGCGGTCACAGCTTACCTGAAAGAAAAGGCTGATACACGGAAGACTATGAGCTAAGCTCACGTACGAGGCCACGCGTCATAAACATACATAACATCTTGATAACATGGCAAATGAAATGTGATTTCTACTGTTAGCTAGTCCGTATTGGAAAATGCATTTAAATTCATACAGGCTTTCATTCAGGCTTTTATAGCATTCCTTTAGAAAACATCACCAGTGTTGAAAACAGTTGTATTATTTAATATGAAAGCATATGAAGAATATGAATATGAAAGCATCGTTCAAGTCTTGACGATTGTAACGTAATTTTCGTTAGTGGTGTTTTTCTGTGACAGACCGAGTTTATTCGTTATAAAATTGCGTACAATTTGATTAAATCAATAATGTCATCTGCGTTACTGTTACTGCATCACTGCTGCCTTGCTCACAGACAGTATCTTCAGACGATGGTGTGGCACTTTCACAAATACTGTCGGTATTAGCTGGGCATAGCTCGCTAGATATCTGTCTATCTCGCTATCTGATGCTTTTAGTTGCTGTATATATCTCTTACGATAACCTGAAGAAGGTGATTGACGCGTTTAGATTTTATCTGTTTGCGACTTACACGATCGGCGCACGAATACAAAAGCCCGCAGAGAAAAATAGTCCGCGTTACGTCATTATCAACTGATTACCTTGTGTGCGTGTGTGGGTGTGTGTGGGCTGAGGTGATGAGCTTATGGAAATAGTGAGAATTGGCTAACCTAGATTTTACAGGTATGTATGGTTAATTACTGGAAGACTGGGCCAAAGTAGATCTAAAGATAGGCATGCATGCAGAGCGTTGTAACAATAACACTCTCGCGTGTATTAATTTTAGGCTGTCTGTTGTGTGGCATTGTTGCGAGTGGAGCTTACATACCGAGTCGTATCCTCATACGCACGCGAGGAAAAATATTTGAAAAATGTTCACTCAGATATGAAGTTTGATTGAATTGTTAAATTGTTCGAATTAAAATTGAATCGCCTGGAGCGCTCACAGCTCTGTGATCTCGTTCTTCTGTTAATTTCATCGCGCTCTATAATAACCCACCGCGACCACCGCGCATGCGCTAAACGTTCTCGTGTTGATATATCTTCATCTCTCACTCATAGGATCTCAAAGATGCGTGCAATTTTGGCCTCTACTGCCCACCGGCGAACGGTCGTGCGGGAAAATTCCTGGAGGAAGAGCGACCAATGAGAGACTATCCCCTCACAGGACCTATAGGATACCTCGAGGTAAGCAGGAAGGGCATCCAGGATGTATGTTCCGGAAGTGGGGAGTGTAGTGGGGAGTGTAGTGGTAGTAGTGATAAGGACAGAGGTTAGTATACCTCTATATACTATCTACTATATACTACTACTATATACTACTACTATATATAGGCAGATAGCATTTACTATGACACCAGATAAAATATGAAATTCAAGATGGCCGCCAGATACCATGCCGATGGTGATGGGTACCCGATCTCATACGAATGTTCATATCATAAACTACCTATGTGCAAATTTTTATACTTTATGTCAAAAAGTGCACAATTATATCTCCTAGCCCCTGTACTTAGATGGCAACAGGCATGTAATACTTGCTATGACGTCAGGTGGTATCAGGCAGGTAGCTCTAACTGTGAACATCAGAGTGTATTTCTTCCCCTACACGCAAACCTAACCCGATCCATAATAGTGATGTAACTCTAGCCCCCAACCATACCGCTAACCCCAAGCGCGTATTTTTTCATTGTTATTTAAATGTTATTTTTAAATCTTATTTTATATTGTGATAAACATTGATGTAAAAAGTACGCAAATTCCGATAAACATAATAAACGAAATTATCTGTAAAATAAGCCTCGCTGAAAAAATACATGAATGTAAAAAACGTATAAAATTAGTTAAAAGCGTGTATAAACAATCAACCATAATATTGATCCTATATTAAGAAGCTCGTGCGTAAAGTAGTACTGTACACACGAGTGAGATGACCATGACCGGTTACCCGTCGTATGTATGTATATATGTGTGTGTGTGTGTGTGTGTGTGTGTGTGTGTGTGTGTGTGTGTGTGTGTGTGTGTGTGTGTGTGTGTGTGTGTGTGTGTGTGTGTGTG